CTTCATCCTTCGCCATATTTGTATGTTTCATAATAAAAAGGTTTTCAAATGAGCTGATGTAGGTAACAACTCTTGTACATAAAGTTAGGAATCCTTACCCAAACCTTGTAAAACCCTGTGTAAAGAGAGAGAGAGACTGAGACATACCAGACAGAGGCCCTTCAAGTGAGGCGCCTTATCGTTGGTGAAGGGCTCATGATCTGAGGAATTGGAGCTGATTTTGGTCCCTCTCCTCGTATCAGACCTTAACACTATCCCTTCAAGGTGAGTGCCGTAATGCTGGTGATGGTCCCCTTGATACAAGGAATTAGAGCTACCCTTTCCTGAGATGAAGCCTTATTACCTCCCATTCCAAGGCAATATAACCGTACGGGTTTAGTGTTTCTGAATTATGCTTGTGGATTGTGAAATGCGTCTTATGGGCTTTGAATTAGTCTAATGGTCGCAGAATAGTAAGCAGGAACCACTCCAAGGTACTATCCTATCACGCAAGTTTGAACCGGATGCCGGCTAAATGATTTGCACTCTGGCAGGATTCCTTAGGTTAGGTTAGATAAGATTTATTAGGAATCAGGACAAGTGTTTCCTGACGCGGGTCTTGGTCATATGATGACCTGCAGATGAAGCTTTTGACCATCTGACCGAGGCCTTCCACTGGCTTACCCTTCCACTGGCTTACCCTTCCACCCCTTTTAAAAAATATGGTTATAACTACAACCATTGACTGTACTAGTGCACTTTAATAAAAAGGATTCCTGGCCTCCTGTGTGTGTTTATTAGTCCTTAATCCTGTATTTCCTTTCCAGCCAAGAATGGTTGATCTTAGAGCGGCGCGCGCGGGAGGGTAATCGCTGAAAACATTAGTGTATAACACAGATGTAACTAGCTAGTTTGCTTGTCTGCTGATTAGTCTCCTAAGTGCGGGTTATTTGTGTAACTAGGTTAAGTTAGGTAAGGTTTGTCAGGAAATGGGACAAGTGCTTCCCGACGAGGGTCTTAGTCATACGATGACCCGCAGCTGGAGCTTTTGGTCATCTGACCGACACCTGCGGCTGGCTTACCCCTCCATTTCTTGAAGAAGTTTGGTTGTGATTATAACCATTAGATATTGTGTAACTACTAGGTGATAACTAGCGGGTCAGGTGCGAAGCTCGGGCAGTTCTCTTTAGTTTCATTTCTGCTGGAATCTAAAATTACTGTTCTCACTTAATTTTTTCTTAATCGTTGATAGCTAGCGTTCCAATACTGCTGGCCTCATTAGCCTAATATCCTGAGAGGAGCTCAAAGTACCTTAAAAAGAATTTGCAATGCTAGTGTTCCAATTTTGTTGATGGCCACTTCCCTAATTTTCAAGGGAAACTTGTAAATACTTGTGAGGATTAGTCATATTTTATTTTACCAGTTGGACTGGTTAGCGTTCAAGTATTGCTTTTACAGCTTTTTAAAACTAAGGTTGTTTCTACGAGCAATATTGATAATGGGTCTGCTAAATCCTTTGCATTTTCCTGTTACTTGTTGGTACTGATAAAGGTCTCTGGCCATTTCGAAAAGGTTTTACTAACCATTTTTTTCTGATTTCTTGAAAATATTTTGATATGAAGATTTTATTAGTAATGTGATATATATAATATATATATATTTATATTATTATTATATATATTATATATATATATAATTTTATATATATATATATGTCGTGCCGAATATGTAAAACTGGTCAATTAGCAAGAACTCATTTAAAATTAAATCCTTTCCAAAATTTTCTCTTATACGTTTAAAGATATATTTTTTCATTAATGTTATTGTAATTTTTTTTAATTTTGCACCAAAAGAAACTTAGAAAACTTACCTAACCTTGTTATAACAAGAGCAATTTATTTTAGCCTAACCCAACTAAATATATTTTAGATTTGTTTACAGTAATTTAATACTAAACAAACACAGTGAAATATATTTTTTTCGTTAGGTTCAGAATGATTTTGGCGAAATTATTGCATACACAAGTTTTCGCTTGTCCTATGTGGCAAGATGAGCGTTGTGTAAGAATGGTATATAATACCGACAAGATGAAATTAAGACACATGTGCAACATCTGGGTATCTTTATTGTAGACGTTTCGCCATCCAGTGGCTTTATCAATACAAATTCTAGGACATAACTTGAAGACAGTGGAACTATGTACAGAAGATGAGGTAATCAGTCCCTCAACCTAGGAGTAGGTGCGAAGAGCACCATAGTCGTGGAGATTCAGAATCTCCACGACTATGGTGCTCTTCGCACCTACTCCTAGGTTGAGGGACTGATTACCTCATCTTCTGTACATAGTTCCACTGTCTTCAAGTTATGTCCTAGAATTTGTATTGATAAAGCCACTGGATGGCGAAACGTCTACATTAAAGATACCCAGATGTTGCACATGTGTCTTAATTTCAAGATGAGCGTTGCTATTTAAGCCAAGATCGCAAGTTCTGCCTATTCGGCACGACATATATATATATATATGACTGTGGTGTGGATGACTCTAGGCTAGCCTAGAGTCATCCACACCATCGTGTGTCCTCGGGTAGCGAGTACAACATCCAGTTCCGCTGGATGAGCTACTCTTAAGGATCGTATGGTCCAGTGGATTAGGGAGTCATGTGTTTTCGCCCACCATGAGGCAGGCCAAAGCAGCATGGGTTCGAGTAATTGGCTAGTGCAGTGTTTTATATATATATATATATATATATATATATATATATATATATATATATATATATATATATATATATATTGTGTGTGTGTGTGTGAACAATAATAATTTAATTGAAGTCGTTGATATGCCTTGATGTTAATGAAGGTCTCTTGGTTCGAGGAATTGGCGTTACTTTCCTTTTCCTCTTAGAGGTTTAGTGCTCTGTGAAAATAATTTGAATTAGTGACGTCAATGTTTACTTGCCAAGGTGGACGCTGTTCAAATATTATACACTCAAGTCGTCTGAATTTTCAGAGCTGTACACTGTTGATCTTTAGATGAAGAGAGACACACAGAGACATTGATCTTACCACTTTGATCAGAGTACCTTTTCTTGTGTTGACTGATACTCGCTTTATTGAAAAGTCTCGAATTTGAAGGGTCTTCCCTATTACTTTTTTATCAGATAGTGCAGTTTTTTTTTTTCTTCTTTTTTTTTCTAGTTTATCTTGTTTGATTTTTAGAAGAATAATATTTTCCAGAGCGGGTAGCTAGTCCTTGCTCACATTTCTTGGGGATCTCAAGGATACCTCAGTTACTCCTGCTCTCTCTCTCTCTCTAGACTGTATTCCGTTGTTGGTTTTCTTTGTATTTCCATGACGTTGCACTTGGCGAGGATGTTTTCCAATAGTCAATTATATGTCCAGTCCTGCAGTGTCTAAGTCTTCTTCCCCTGATTACCCTCTCCCCCCCTCATCATCCCCCACTGCGTCATTGGCCTGGTGCAGTATTGACTTTGTAAATCATGACGTCATTAAACATCAGGTGATGTCATAATGCTTCTGGTGACGTCACAGCGCTTGGCATTTAATATAAAAGACAGTAGTGGGAAACCCCTACAGTTTATCCCCGAGAGAGAGAGAGATGGACAGATACACTCCGGGAAACTTACTTCTCTTTGCAAAATGTCTGTCTCAACAACATACACTATCGTGAAGCAGCATTTCACTTCACGGTGACCGTCGAGGAAGGTTGTGGTAATAAATGGGTGAGAATATCCCGCTAGGGGACACCTGTTGATGCACTCACAAACGGAGTGCCATAGTTACAGAACGGAAAATGGTGAGACGGGGAATCAAAAGCTGAGACTGGAAGGATTTAGATTCAGATTTTGCCGCTGAAGTGGCTAGTTAATTGTGCCACCCCATGGCCATCCTGAGGGTGGCGCAAGAGCATATGGATACACAAAAGGCCTAGGGACTAGACGCCCAAAAGATTTAAGAGGAATGCATCTGGATTTATATATATAATTGTCTAATCTATTGCAAGAAAATTTAGGATATTTGCTTAAATACTAATGAAAATAAGATACTAGATATATTAAGCCTTAATGTCACTGTTATCATTAATAAGAGACGAGAAAGAAAACCCAGAGACGAGGAAGAAAACACAAAAGACAGGGAAGAAAACACGAAGATGGGATAAGAAAACGCAGAGACTGAGATGAAAACGCGGGAATCTTGCTGGTCAATCCTTATACCATCAGATTATCGTGCAGGAGGGACACCGTGTCAGTGGCACATCCAAGAGAATCAGCAGGCACCTGCATGTTACCTACTACCACCTGGTTACTACTAGATTACCGTATATTCTTTGATTCAACGCATTGGCGGTACTTCCTTGAGTCTACTCTTTACCCTGCTGTATTTTATGAAACAGATACCTGAAGGGGATCTTTTTTGTATCTTCTGGAAAGGAGTTCCAAATTTTAGGGCCCATTAATTGTATGGAGTTCCTGCATAGGTTGAGCCAAACTCTTGGTATATCAAAAAAATATTTATTTCTTGCATTGTGTTCTGTTGCATCACTCCAGGAAGAGTCGGAGTGGTGGGTTGAAGTAGTAAGTGGATGTGTTTTATGTTGGGTTCAAGTTGAGACTTTTGAGTGGTGTGGTGTGTGTTGTCTGAAACCTGAATGAGTGATTATAACAGCTAATTTCTGTTGTGTAACAATGGGTTTTGGGTGATTTGCTGTAGTAGATCCTCAAGTACAAATACAATAAGTAAATTAAGGATAAATTAGAGACTAGTGCAGAGTGAGTAATGTTTGGAGAGCAAAGTAGCGTGTTTTTGATAGAATTACCACAGTTTTGGGAAGTTTCTTAGATATGTATTGGATTAGAGCGTTGAATTTCAGGTTGCAATCAAGGTGTATCCATAAGAATTTCCCCGTGTCTTGCCTTTCTGTGTGAGAATTATTTGTTTTTATGTTGAAATGGTATTTTAGACGTTGAAATTCTGACCCTTGACCTCTGTCTCTCCTACAGAAGCGGCTGCAGAAGGAATTAATGTCACTCTTGAAGGAGCCTCCCCCAGGAGTCACCGTAGATGTTGACCAAGCCCACACCAAGCTGACAGAGTGAGTGTTTTCTTTCTGGTGGCTCCACACCTGTACTTCATTATGGTGGTGCCCCTGCATCTGTATTCCTCCACCACCATTTTGGTATCCCACACCTGTACCCTTCCGTCAAATCTGTTAATTTACTCTGTATCTCGTTCATACGCTGTGAACGGTAGCTCCTTCACGGGATGGGGGGGGGAAAGGTCTTGATGCTGAAGGGCTCTTGATCCAGGGAATTGGATCTAACCTTCCTTTCCTTAGATCAGACCTGACTGTCCATCAATTCCTCAGGCGCTGTGATACTAACGGACTTACCATTTCACAATGAATACATATTAATAATGAGGAGGATAATACAGTAGGTCTAAATGATAGATAGGTCTTCTTGCTTAAAAGGAATATGTTTCAATTCAATATAATGTTTATACAAATTTATATTTAATCTTATTTTTCTTAATATGTTACTTTATTTTCCATCAGCCTGATACGACAGAGCTGGCAACGATTACAGTACGGAAGATAACACTTGTTCATGAACCTCTGCTGGTGTTAGAGATAACACGCATCTCTGACCCTTCTCCCTTTCCTTAGTTTTTTGGGGAATCGACACAAGACAAATAGGTGTTTTTTATGCATCATATTGATCACAACTGCTTGTACGTCAGTGGTAGCTCCTTCAGCTCGCTCCCAAATTGACATGGGTCCGATCCTGGGGCGAGTGTAGACATGGGCATGTTTAAATACATCTGCTGGCCCTGCTTACCTGGGTACTAGTCGATTATTATAGGTCGCATTCTCGGGAAGGGGTTAGTATACCTTGATAGATAGGGCTTGGCGCTGAAACGAGCTGAGGTAGGACAACAGCTCGTAATCTGTAAATTCAGTTATGTTAAAATAATACCAGCTTACTTTAACTTTGCTTTTTTTTATCACGGCAATCAGACGATTACCTAAAATTTGGATCGAGCTAGGTCGGAGAGTGCTCTGAACTTACGATGCAGCCTGTTAATTAACTGTGAAAAATCTAAGGGAAAAGTTCAAAGATGAATTTCTAGACAAATTAAATCAGTACAAATCAAAGACGATATCACTGATCACCAAAACAAACATTTTGAATCTCTGAAATGTCAGATTTCAAACTATCAGAGTTTGCAATAGACATGTAGTTATAGGTAAATTATCCCAGTCTATCAATGATCGCCTCACTCGCCGTACCTCTCACAAGCCGATCGATTCTCACCCTTCTGTCACTACCATAGCAGCTCCACAGCATTAATATATGTGGTAGTCAAGTAAACTAGTATAAATTCTCAATTGAATTAAGTTTTGCAGAGGAAATTTTAACAGTTATAGTCCCTTCTCGACCATAATTAGTTGTGAAACATGATTGCTCAACATTTCATCTCCAAATCGTGTGCTAGTTGAATTTTTTTCCAACCACGGTATTATGACTTATTCTTCCTAATTGATGTAAAGTTAGCTAAGCTACCATATCAGTATGAGCATCGTAAATGTTATACAGAATAAAAGTGACTTATTTCTGTGAACAATGTTATTAAATAAGTAGACTTTTTCCCCTAGCCTACACACCTACCTTCCATGTTTCCTACCCACTTACCCTCATGTTTCCTGCCTATTTTCCTTGTTCCTATCTACCTTCTTTTTCCTACATACATTTCTCTTTTATTTATTTCCGTCTCCCCCTGTCCATGGACTAGGAGAGAAGGCAATAAGTAGAACCATGTGAGAATGTTTATAGACAACACAAACAATATGATGCAGGATTGAAGAGAAAACAACGCGGACAGAAATAAGGAAGAATGCTCCGAGGTTCTCTTCAGCTCATATCTGTTGAAGAGGACCATAGTTGGAGGTCGAAATATACAGATAACCATGCTTCCTTTTTTCCTTCCCTTGTGGCCAGTGTTAGCTGTAAGATGTTTTGTTTACAGGTGGGTGGTACACATGGAGGGAGCATCCGGTACTCTCTACGAAGGAGAGAAATTTCAACTGCAGTTCAAATTTTCTCCAAAATATCCCTTTGATTCTCCGGAGGTTAAGGTTGTTATCCAAAGAGCATGCTGGAATACTTCAGTCACCCTGCAGAATTGTTTTAAAAACTAAAAATTGTATTTTGACCAATGTCATGCAAGTTTTGTTAAAATTTGGAATTTTTAGATTGCTTTCATCATGATTTTAGAATTATTGTGTAGGGGGTATAGTGGAATATTTCTTTTTAAGTTACCTAATTATGAAAGAGATTTTTACAACAAACTTTTAAACCCTTTAAAATTTGGATTTTTTTTTTTTAACCCTCTAAACAATCCCCATTATCAGTAAAATAAAACTTGGTTTTATGATCTCCGGGGTTTGCGGGAATCGAATTTTTGTTCACTTTTTTGGTAATTTTTCAGCAGCCCATACCGGAGATAGGACAGGGACTCTTGAACGGGATTCATGGGTATAGCACACCCAGTGCTTTTAACACTGATAAAACAACTTCACGGTCCCGGGGTTGTTAAATCAGTGTTATGAAAGCATTGGGGGCCTACTTAAAAAGCAGGGTCAGGGTTCGAGGCCCTATTCATTCCTTGTTCACGGCTGCTAATCATTCATTACAATTTACCTTGGATATACAGTGTACCAATTTAAATTTCAAAATTTTTTCGGGGTGTTTTTTGTGGGAAAACAACATCCCCATCCATCCTCAAAAATATTAAAGGCCCACTTTTTGCCTGGGGCATTCAAACAGAAAAATTTGGTCACCTGCCCTTTCAGTACGGCCATTTTTTTTGTCATATTCCATGCTATCTTCATGTAAAAAAAAAGGTATCTTTTAAAGTTATGTATATTGAGTAAACGGGAAGTTGTTTTTAAATAAATTTTTAAATTCTTTGCAGAAAAACAAGAATAGCATATATATATCAAGATTTCGTTTTTTGAAAACATTTTTACAAATTTTTTTTTAATCCTTTGCAAAAAACGACCACCTGACAATAGCTATTATGTCAAAACTTGCAGTGCCAACCCCAAAAAACAAAATGGTGGTATCAGGGTTTTAAGGGACGGCAGGGGGTATATGCCCTAAAAGTATCCCTAAAGTATAACTCATGTCGTGTATGGGTCAACCCTTAATTTTGGGGCATATATCTTTTTTAAATAAACTTACCCTAATTTTTGGAAATTTTTAAAAATGGGGTCAAAATAGTTTATGTGGAAAATAATTCCCTTTAAATTGAAGATAGTTCTGAAAACATAAAACAAAACTCAAAAGTTTTTTAAAAAATATTTGTGACGATAAAAAGGGAAAAATTTACCAAACACCTGGTAAAACCCTAATTTAAGAACACTCAATAGGCCTACCTGCTTGTGGGTAGACAAAATAAGTCACAACCCCGCTATTACATAAGAACATAAAATAAGATTTAAAAAACTGCAGGGGCGGTTAAGTCATTAATAATCCCTCTCCGTCATCTGATGTGGAAACATTAAATTTTTATGGGGGGGCCGGGCTGGTTTAAACCGGGTTTAAAGGGTTTAAACCCTTTTTTTGGGGGGGACTGGGAAGCCAGTGTAAGGCCCCTTTAATCATGTGACCTAAAGCTGCGGTTAGCAGGTCATCACATGACCAAAACTGGTAAATTTGGGGGAAAGCTTGTCTTTGACAAATAAATACCACTACCACCACCCTTTAGTTTTTTTGATTTTTTTATTTTGCAAACAAAAACCCCTGTTTTTTGCCAATATAATTTTTAAATGGGTTTATATACATAGCATAGTTCAAGCTTCAGGCAACCAAAAATTGCAGGACGACCACATTGGGGCATTTAAGATTTGAAAAAAATTTTAAAAAGATTTGGTGAAGCTTACTAAACTTGTGGCCCCAGTTAAAAAAATGTTCAAAAAAACTTGAAACCTGGCATGTTGGGCCCCAGCTAAAAATGTTGATGTTTTTTAAAAAAAATTCACCGAAAAAATTTAAAAGTCCCGTTAATTTTTTAAAAAAACCAAAACTCCCCCAATTTAAACAAAAGTTTATGGGCCCCTTTTTAAAACCCCATTTTTAAAATAACCCCAAAAGACCAAGGGTAACACCCCCCCCCCCCACCAAACCCCCAAAACCAAACCCCTTTTTTCAAGGAATTTACCCAAAATTTTAAAAAACCCCAATGAATAAAAAACCCCGAAAAGGTGATAAAACCCTTATTTGGAAAATTCTCCCCCCGTTTATTTTTCCCCCCCAAAAACAAAAACCCGGGGTCCCCCCCCTCCCCCCCTTAAAAAAAATCATCCCCTTTTTTTTTCCCCCCCCCAAAAAAATTTAAAGGGGGAAATTCAATTTTTTAAAAAAATTATACCAAAAGGCTTTCCCCCCCCCTTGTTCCAAATATTAAAAGACCGGCCCCCAAATTTTTTTTTATTTCCCAAAATCTTGGGTTTTTCCCCCCCCGGGGTTTAAAATTTTCCTTTTATACCAAAAAAGGGGAAAAGTTTTTCCCATAAAAGCCCAAAATTTAAACCAATTTATGGCTTCAAACCCCCCCAAAAACCCCAATTTTTTTTTAAAAAAATTTCCCCTTTTTCACCCCTAAGGCCCGGGGGGAATACCATTTGGGGGTTGTCAAAACCCCGGGGGTGGGTCAAAATTTGGGACAAAAAACCCGACCTAAATTGCCTGAAACGCTATGCTACCCCCGCTTTTGTAGGTAAGGGCAGTAGGCCCTTTTTAACCATGACCCTTACCGTAACAATAAAAAAAATTTTTAAAATTTCCCGGGAAATTTTCCCCCCTACTTTTTTTCTTAAAAATTTTTGGTTCCCTTAAAAAACCCCGACCAAAAATTGGTATATATGGTAAATACTGTAAAAAAGAATAAAAACCCAAAAATGATTTGTTTAACATTATTTAGTTTAAAGACCCACATAGTAAAAGGGAAAAAAACATACGGTTGCCCCCTCTTCCCACAATGACAAATGTACAAATGGACCCCCGCATAAAAGATTACCTCCCCAATGTGGGCCAATTACTAAGTGTAAATTTTTGTTTAAATGCATTTGTACGTGTATGTTTGGGGGTCTGAAATGGACTAAACCCACCTACAATATTTCCCTTTTGGGAACAAATTCGGTCAGAAATGGCCCCTGAACATACTTTGGAGTGAAAAAAAAAACGTTAACCCCGGGGGGCCACTGTATTGCCCAAAATTTTTTCATTTTTCTCTCATTTCAGGATTTGGTGCACAATTATAATAATGGTGGTGGGAAGTTCACTGCCTGCACAGTATCCTGAAGGGTGGGTGGGGAGGTTGTAGTTAGAAGGGTTATTAGAAATGTGACATCAATGGACTTCTGGCAAGATAGCTAATGAATGAATAGTGATGAATATGTTTCCTTGGGCTTACCCAAATTTGGTGAAAAAGGTTGCGGTAAAAAAATATTTATTATTAGAAACAATATGTTGGTAGATAGCAACCATCCATTAATGTGAATGAAACAAGAGACCTATTCAGTGCTTCTCTAGCAGAAGTGGATTTTTTGTCTTATGAACATGTAAGATTACAGATAAATCTTACAAACTTCTAATTGCACTTAATATAGTATACTTATCTTTACGTTCCTCTGGTTTTATATTTTTTGTTTATGTAACATTTCCCTTTCAAATTTATGAGGCCTGATTGAGACTGGTCTGTATAGACAGTGATATAATCATACAGTAACCCTCTATTTAATGCACTAATTGGGAAGATCTGGTGGCCAGAAATGGCAGCTGTGGTAGATAAAAGTTTCTTTTTCTGTGGTTGTAACAGTAATTCTGTGACCAGAGGACTTTGTTTCCAAATGTACTGACCCAGCAGATTGTTCCATATATCCGAAGTCATTTACACTTAGTACTGTATAAATGTGAATTTGTGCATTTCGAGAGGATAGAGTAGTCTAGGATGACCAAGAAGGCATATAAATTGGGATGGCAGAAAGGAAGGGTAGTGGTTATCTTAGGAGGGGTTATTAGCGAGTGAGCAAAGGGGAGTACTAGGGACTTAAATGGGCATGCAAGATAAAACTGAGTGTAGTCGTGTTTTTTATAGCTTAACATGCCGTTGGAGTGCAAGGACAGTAACATTTATGAAGGGATTCAGGGAAACTCATAACCTGGACAGTCTTTTGGAGGTGGGTAGTACAGTGCCTGCAGTTTCAGTCACTCGGTTTATTTCTATGTGATGCATTGTACAAAATTAGACGATATTACATCTCTCACATGGAAAGCCCCCTTAGTTATGCCAAGCATTTCGGGCAAGCTTAACTTACATCTAGGACTATAGACAGTAATGATTTTCACAGTAAAATAGATTACGTGATTATTAACCTTTTGACTGTTTCGGTCGTATATATACATCTTACGAGCCAGTGTTTCGGACGTATATACATGTATACTCAATAATTTTAGCAGCTTCAAATCAAGCAGGAGAAAGCTGGTAGGCCCACATGTGAGAGAATGGGTCTGTGTAGTCAGTGTGCACTGTATAAAAAAAAAATCCTGCAGCACGCAGTGCATGAGATAAAATATATTCCGACTGTGTTATTCGATTAAAACGCCAACTTTGAGGTGTATTTTCGTATAGTATTTATGGTTGTATTGTTGTGTTTACTTGGTCTCATTTGATAGAATGGAAAACACATTACAGAAATAGAGATGATTTTGATTAGTTTCACAATGAAAACGATCTTGAAATTGAGCCCAAAGTAAACCTTTCCACGGGCGGGATTTGAACCTGCGGTCAGAGAGTCAAAACTCCAGACATTGCGTTAGCCCTGGACCAGCTGCCAAAATAAGTTTCGTCCACTAGGTATATTTACACCATGGGAAGGGTTAGCATGGGCACAGTTGACCCAATGAGTTTTTAACGAATTCCCAGCGGGGGCCGTGACGAATCTACTCAAGTCCCCTCACGCCGTCAACAGCTCTACGATTTCGTGAGTCATGTTAGGCAGTGAGGGGACTTGAGTTGAGTTTGCCCGGGTCACGCTAGCTGGGATTCGTCTGTAAAAAAACTTGCATTTGGGTCCAGTGGTCCCCTATGAATTCCTAGGTTAGAAATATACCTAGTTGGACGAATCTTATTGTG